TGTTGTTTCACTTTTATCATCCTCAACAGCTTTTCACTTTAGAATTTTGCTTGGCCACCCCACAGCTTCCTCTATTTCCCTCGTTCAAATGGCTCGTTTTAGAACAACAATGCACCCCTTTTCTTAGCGATGGAAGAGTAGGACGATTTTGCACACCACACCTGGAATTTACCACACACACGGCTTTTGCATATGGCTAGAGGAACGAAAAAAGGTAGTTTACGACCGGCCCACACGTGCGATTCTGATTTATCTCATCCGCTTTGCATTGAAAAACGTGCCGGAGCAGGTATTGTTGTAAGATCCCCGTGATATATGGAACAGTCCACGTTCATTCAATCGAAAACCCTTATGGGAGACAGATTCTCAAATCGCCCAGTTCATAGGAGGTTCATCGATATCCCGTCTATGTTCCGCTGTCGTTAAGATCTCTTGCACTCATCAAGTTCTTCACCATTCGGGAAACCCCAAGACGCCACCATAGACGCATTTTTGAAAACCTCTCTTGAACCATGCTCGGAGACGGTTCTTAAATGCACGGTGTGCACCGTGCCTGGAAATGGCCCGAGAACTCCTTGCACTTTCATGGGAAAGCCTCATTACATCCACAAAGCTGTCTTCAGCCGGAGTTGCGGCCCTGAGGGCCCTAAATAAATATCAGCCTGAGATGGAAGCCAGCCTTACACCACTACTTTGATCAATCTACGAGCGTGAATCGGATCTGTGCCTGAAAGGTTGTACTCATCTTCTTTTCAGAAGTGGGACCTAGTGTTGGGATGGCAACTCCAGGGTTGAATTCATCAGTCTACCATTCTTCAGCCTGAACCTTTTGGAAAAAATTCGAGAGGACCATGCTCGTCAGAGAAAGACTAGCAGCGCTATATGTCATCCTTGGCTTGCCACCAATCCATAAACAGAAACTCTCGAGGTAGCATTTTATACACTGAAATGTCTTTGATTGCAGATATCTGACGCCGGGGAAGTGTTGTGCCCTCGGCCGTAAATCGTTTTTACGACTCCCACCTGGATCGGCTGTAGGCTTTCATCGTGGCCGCACACGCTACTCCCACCTGTGCTGCTTACCGTAGATGCGATCAACTGCCAATTCACACCGTCATTTCGTCTTTGTTATATCTCTTTTCACGCTTTCCCACAGGAGGTTTTTTGAATTTTTCCAGAAACTTCTGGCCTCAATCCGACAGAAAGGAGCATAGTTTCGATGTTTTCGAATTCCCAGACGGGATGGCAAACTCCTAGTCCTAGAGGACCTTTTTACTATAGTATTTTCACCACACCACACGCCACGATGAAGGCCTATAATTTTGTTTCTCAGGTGTGCGCGCCGAGTGAAACCATATGCGATCTCGACCCGCTCTGGTTAGCACACTTCCTCGTCGTCGTCGTGTACTCCCTCCCTTTGAGAACACCTATAATTCATTCCCCCACCATTTCGGCCTTCACTTTCCTTTCCACTTTGCTACACTCTTATTTTGCCGTTTAGTGTCGGTCGGTGTCGTCGTTTACCCCATGCATCATCTCCTCATGTGTTCACCAATCCATACTACTTTATACGGTGTTCGTTTTACAATTCATTATGTGTATGTGAAGTTGTTGAACAGCTTTACGGACCGACCGAATACCGTAATCATTTGGCGGAGGTGACAAGAAAAATGCTCCATTAAATCGCGCTCAAAATCGATGCACATAGCGTCGTGGCGCACGCGCGCGGCTGTCCTAATACTATCGCAAAAAGATGCATCGAATGACCGAATTTTCTCCCATTAACATGACGATTCAGCTGCTGAACATGTGTCCAATAGCAGCGACTTGGGTGGCCCCCTGACATATGCCCCAAGAAAAGCCTCAAGCCTTAGCCCAGATCTGCAATTCATTCGCTCTAAACATTGAAATTTTCCATTTTTTTTTAGAATTTCAATGTGCTTCATTCTGATTCAAGCATTGCCTCGATGGCAGTAAGAGCCAACCGCGACGGATGTTCTGATGAAGTGCACCGGGGTGAACTGCCGTGTGATGGGTGATCACATTTAGATAACCCGACTGCCGCCCAGTAGTCGGCGTCTTTTAAGCGTCCGGCTCAAAACATACCGCGAATTAGTCGAATTCGAATTTGACCGAGTTTGGCTAAGGAGAAAGTCAAAGAACAGATAACACAGACAATAAATGACCTTTTCAAATTGGTCATTTAACATGGCGCAGGTGTCGTCGTGTTCGTTTTCCACTTGGTTCAACAGCTACCTACTAGAAGCCCTCATTAAGCAGTGTAGGAGGTGCTTATTTGACATGATGAAGAAAAAAAAAGGGCAATGGGAAGGTAGAGAACAGGAACGATGGGCAGCTGACTCGAAAAAATTCTATGCTAGTATGTTCCCAGAAGTTTTGTTGTAGCAGGACCTTTCTGGAGTCCCCAAAAGACTTGAAACCGTGAGCCCTTCCCTTCTCTTCCGACGCAAGAGTTGAAGTTTTTAAACAAATTCGTGTAACTACGTGATTGTTCTGAATTGGTGATATTCAGACACCAACATCGTCTCGACCTGCGTATTTCCGGGTCACCATAACCGCTGGCTTCAAATGTCATATGCTGCAAAATTTTGTGCAAAGTGCGGAATCGAACCATCGATGGGTGACAAGCGGGCGTGCGCGAGCGAGCGACGTTGTTGGCGCTCGTGGCGTCGGCACCTTCAAAGGGGGGACTACTGTGGATTAAGCTCCGCCTATGGGGTGGAGAGAGCTGAACGCGGGCGACGAGACGACGACCACCAGGGCGCACCATCGCCACCCATCATTTGAGTACCTATTCGGGTAATCTAACAAGCTCGTTAAAAAGCTAAATGTCTGACATTAAGCGTTTTGGCACTTCTCACAGATTTCGTTCCACTCAACAGCTCCTTAAACGACGACGATCGTACTATCAACCCTCTTCTTATGGATTTCATCCAAAACTGATATTGATAAGCTTCTTTCTCCGAAAAATGTTATAGTAATCGGTTCTGACGTGGTGATCATCTTGTACTCGGCCAGGTCTAAAAAAGTCGAAAAAGATCCTGGACCTCTTGGCGCTTTCCTGTATCCGTTCTCAATCATGAATCCTTCACTCTTTTCCCCAAGAAGCTTCTTCATCCAAGTGGTCAGACTTAATAGAACCGCTTGTATCATTCAATACCTGGAAGTTGAATTGCTTTTAGGAGACAGTTAGATGTGAACCCTGCGCCGGTGCTCCGAACCCCTGGCTCCTATTACTCGGATCCAGCTATCCTCTTGCTCCTTTATCCTGAGAACTGTGGGTCCTTCTCACTCATACAGGAACCTACCTGATCCCAGCTTCTTCCTTATCACAGCTCTTCCCTTCTTCTTCGACCATTAGACATACAACACAGCTTCTAGCGGCTGACGACTTCTCAATTCCAGTGCTCCTATCTGTCCTTCATGTACATTCTGCGATTTTGGAGGTCCCAGAACCTTCTCTCCTCCCAGCTTTTGCTGCGTTCGAGCGCTATCCATCATTTTTCTGGGATAGCGACGACGTCATTTGTGATTGCTTAACATTTTCCATGGACATCCACACCGCTTTGCTCGCCGCTGAACACAGCACGTCCTCCCGCTCTAATTTGCATAGTCGTAAACCTTGAAATGCGATTTGATGTGATTCAGAAATATTGATTTTTCCTCAAGTCCATGCCATGAAAAGCCGCTTATCAAACGATTTTTTGTGATTTACAAAGCAGACCTTCCTCACGATAGAAAGCCGAGAATGAACAAATCAAAGGGAAACCATGTTTGAGTCACATTTTGGGAATATTTGTCAACGAAAGGGCGGCAATATAGAATAGCAATTTGGGCTTTCACTTTGGATTTTTTCAAGTAGCTGGTACGGCATGAACATTCTCCCCGAGCCTATGGTGTTAAAGCGTTTTATGATATACAAACATAACTTTGTAAACAGCACACCTTGGGTGGCCCAACTGGGAAACGAGCGTCACTTGCAGCTCTTCCATTCCTGAATCCGTTTCGTTTTGCATCAGTCTAATGATGAGCTAATCCATTTGCAGCTGCCAGAACTCCTTAAAAATTGCAAAATAGAGAATTAGCGTTAATCGGGGGTCCCGAACTCACCCGATGGGCAGGGAAAACATACCTGCTGCTGGTGTAGGAAGATGTGGTAGGTAGCTTGGCTGACGGTTGACGTCGCTCCACTGACAACGATCATTCGACGTCGTCGTCCGCATAGGTATGAGGAGAGGCAGGGAGCGTTCTCTAATAGCCGCCATTCGAAATGATCGTAAAATTCGAACGGCCATCCAAATGCCCTCATTAGAAAGGTTCAAACTAGCGCACGATGCAATACTACGTATTTCTTTCAAATAATTTGCCCCATTCTCGCAACAACTCGCAACATCCGTAGTAGTGTAGCATCGCCCGTCGCGTTTGAATGTTGCGAATTATTTATCACTCAAACATTCGACGGCGAGAGCTATTCTTTGAGCTACGACGAACTTGCTTTCCTCACTGTGACCATTTTCTTCCATTTCTATCTCAGTCTAAGCCACTACTTCGCCGATAGCCTTTACTTTTCTTACTCATCGTTCGTTCGGAAGTGACCTGGCTGATTTACGGTGTCATAAGCAGAAACGTCTCAACAAATTTCATTTCATGTGTGTGTGTCGTTCGTTCGTTCGTTCGTTTCTGCTGGTTAAACCGTTATTCATGTAAAATTACTTCGGCGGCACTTCCATCGGAATTTATGGCCATCACAAATCAAACACACTTGTCACCTCTCTTTGTCATACAGAATTGTTGTTAAGTTCATATGAGATGGGAATTTCGGACGATTTTTAACATCCCATTACCTATTTCATGGCACATTTTCGTGGTTGCTGCAACGGCGCAGTTAGCTCATCTGTCTCCTGCCGACTTTCAGCGAATCACGGCCATCGGCCACGCCCCCACGAATACGGTAGTGTCGCGCAGGCGCCGAACCTCAGATGAATCCCGCCACGCTGTCATCGGTTGGCTTCGATTTTGGAGCCTCTGGCAGTCAGCCAGAAGCAAACGATCACCTTCAGGTGAGCCAATGATTCCTTTACTTCTAATTTCACTTCAATACGATCCTCATAGGACACATGTGTGATTGACTGTGTCAGTTCACTCGCCTACTACGAACACCACATTACATGCGTCATCATTGCGGATCATAATTGGTAATGGGGCCCATTGGTGAAACATTAGAGCCCTAAGTGCCTCATTGGGCCGGCGTATAACTCTTCCACTCGGCATATTCATGAATCGCAATCCTGTGAACCCACTACGACTGGGAGGCATCAGCACGTAGACGTCCCAACGAGCTCCAAGAGCTGTACCCTAATCTCCTTCCATCCAAAATGCCGTTAAGCCTCGATCGAAGCCATTTTCGTTTATCCTTCCCCTTCCATAGTGAGTGCCAGTTACTCAGAATAGATCAGTTTTCAAATGAAATAGGAAAAGTAAAAGAATGCACTTGTTTCAGAGGCTAGCTGCCATGACCCAAGGGGTAGGAAAGGATGATCACGATCAAGCAGCAGCTCCATCGACAGATGCCGCCTTATACACAGGTGGACAGTGTAACAATATAGAAAAATTTCCGATCTTTACCTTTATCTACATTTAGGTGCAGCAGCTTATATGCCTGGATATGCAGGGTGGCCAAACTATTACCAGCAGTTTGGACAACCCTTAGCTCCAGCAGCGTTTTCTGCTTGGCCACCTCAGTGCTATGCTGCTCCACATTGGCCTAATTATGGTGAGTTTCATCTGATCCTTCAATCAAATCATATCTATAGAATTTGGCGAACTTCCCTTTCCCAAGTTACCTCATCTTTCCCCGTGGGCAAACTGGAAGGCAGCCTCCTACTGAGCTCGTGGCCACCAAATTCCCAATTCTGTACTGCCAATTTGGGTAGGATGAGATGGTTTGTACCTGTACCCTGCCCTGCCCTATCATTAGCTTCTCAATTTGCTGCATCGATTTTTCCACTGCGTGAGGTCTCCTGAAGAGCGACATGAGCTCTTCCGTCTAATAGCCACTTACGATCGTTAACGCGGCTCTTTGTGATTTATGTCATGTAACTGCAGAACTACCATAGTAACGCTCGCCTGCTCGCCCTTTGCATTTATGCCCTCTATACTTTTATACACTCACCGAGATTACTCCGAATAGTACTTAAATGTCATAGGTGGTCCTGCAAACGAAAAAATGTACCGTAGTAGTAGTGGCGAAAGTCGATCGAGTTGTGACTGTTGTGCTAGTGTGTGTTTCCTCTGTTTATTGTGTGGCATGATGACCACCGTACACAAATAGCAAGTGCTTCGTACATGATCATGACGATTGTCCGATTATCGATCGTTTCGGTACGATCGTGTACGATGTACGAGCGCGATGCGCTGCAGGCAAACACACGCGGGCAAAACAAGCTTTAAGTGATTAAGTAAATCTTGGACCAACTATGAAGTTCAAGCGTTTCGTTTATACCTTCCACTGATCTGATCCGGACCTCCACCTGACGTGTGTTTGTTTCAGCTGCGTCGAAAAAAGGCAGGCAGACGTATCAACGATACCAGACGAGTGTGCTCGAGCAGAAATTCCAGCAATCAAGTTATGTAAGCAAGAAACAACGTGAGGAACTACGACTACAGACGAATCTGACCGATCGGCAAATCAAAATCTGGTTTCAAAATCGACGGATGAAAGCCAAGAAGGAAAAACAACGGATAGACGATCATGGCGAACATGCTCCACTCCTGCCGGCAAATCCGCCAAAAACACTTCTAGATGATGATGATAAGAAATGGCATATGGGTGCAACCCAACAGGCTACTGCATGGCCTCCAGCACCTCCGCATCCATACCAATATCCATTATGTCCCCCTTGAAGTAGAAGTGCTAACACGGGTCTTATGTTTTCTTACGAAACTGTTCAATTCGATATCTATTGATTCTGTGCGGTGTGAATTTTGTGTGTAAACTATTTGTGCAAATTGCTTTTTGTGTTTGCTGATTTTTATGTAAAACGACTCGATCGTCATCACTACCATATGGGGTACGATATAAGTTCCAATCCAACTCCTTAACTTATTTTCGGATTTGTTAATTATAGTAGGAAGTTCAGACATGGGAATCCTTCCTATAGCCTCGAAGGCATCTGATTTTTCTAGTGACAATAATAGGTTATACTTATATGACACTCGGGAATCCAGCTCTTGGGAATCTTTTCCGGGAATTTCCCTCCATTTGAAATGGAATAGACTTGAGCATTGGGTTGCTCAAAGACACTGTCAGCTGGAAACTTCCTTCTTGGCAGCAGAATTTAAAGGCACCGTAGACTCGAGAAAACTGTCAAAATACTCTATCAGCCTCCATCTTACCTTGTACCCATCGTCATCAGTTACGACGACTGAAGGGAGGCGTCATCTGGTCTAACCAAGCTCTAATTAGTCTTGTAGGCTTCAACACATCAAGCTCAGTCGATCAGAGCTTGGCGTCCGCGATTGCAGACTTTTTCTAGAAGATTCCGGTTTTGCTAGTTCACAATGCTGAATCCTTCTGGCAGCCGGCCACGCTGCTCTCCAACAACGTTTTTTCTTGACGCTGTACTGGGAACGGGTAACATGCCTAACAACGTCGCAGATCTAGCCCACCAGTAGAAAAACATCGAATAGTACGTAACAGCATCTACTGGTCCAAGGCAGCCCAAGGGTGGGTGACTGTCTGGTAGCCACCTAGCTCCAAGTTGTCTCAGAAAGAGAACTTGTTCCATTGTTTTGACCTCAGAACTACAAACCGCCTTTAGTTCCGGACGCTTGTAAGAAACGTGGAAGACAAACGTACACCCGTCAACAAACGCTTGAACTCGAAAAGGAGTTCCATTACAACAAATACCTCACGAGAAGGTGAAGTTTATCTAAATGTTTATGACAGATTTTCGATCTTTTCCAACTAATCGCTCTCGTTTCCAGGCGGCGAATTGAATTAAATCGAAGTCTGGGTTTGTCTGAACGTCAGATCAAAATTTGGTTTCAAAATCGTCGGATGAAGCAGAAAAAGGAGAACAAATCACAAAACGAGCACCGTAGCGACTGTGCTTAGCTAGAGAGTCAGCTGCCTTTTGGCTTCGGATAGTATCTTCCAGGTCTTCCATCCCCTAGTCATTTCACAGTCTCTAGTCGAATTAGGTATAGTTGCTGGTATGAAAAAGTTTTATAGGTGTTGATCTCTTGAAATACGCTTTTCTCTATTGTATCACTTGCAATTCGTTCACTTTTGTCTTTAGTTGACCCAATGATTTCCTAGATCACGCTAATCACACAATGGAACCAAGTTCTTGTAGACCAAAATGATATTCTGCAATAATTGGAAGTACTATGTACTCTATCTTACTACATACGTCACCGTCGTACTGTAAACGAATATAGTTAAATGGTTTATTGAATTCCGTGACAGTTGATCGACAAAGAGTACGCAGCACTGTGAGATACCGTAACCACGACGACGGCATAGCGCTCGTGTACAGCAACATAGCAGGCAGTCTACGTTTTCGATCCATGACCAAAAAACGGTATTCCTTTAAGATGACGCCGCAATTTCATGTTCACGACGTTAACTTCAATCGAAACGAATAAAGCACGTTCATTCGCTGACAACGATCCGAGTAGGTGGCGATAATGATCTCAGAGATAGGGCAGATGCAGAGAAATGAAGCCGAATCCCTCTCGTACTGCCTCAGACTGCAAACTGTTCACTTTCGGAGCTCCTCACGAAATGTTAGCGACTGAAATCGATATTTACATAAGCATCGTGGAAAAATCGTTAAATGCCATGAAGAAGTCGTCAGAAATGTGCGAAATAAGGTGGAATATTCGAGAAAAGGCAAACATAGCGAATACATATGCATATCGGCGCCCCATGATTGAGGTGACACAGGAAACGTTGGACCGGTTTGATGTTCTGTTTACACAAATATTTAACTACCGTACCCCATAGAGACAGCTAGAGAGAAGAAAAGCGTTCGTTTGCGTTCGTTCGCTCAGGCTAGCTACCGTAGTCCATGACGACAACTACCTTATTCATTTATCTCCGGGCGGAAGACGACGAGCGCAGCAGCCATTTTCGCCACTGCAGCCAAACTCATACTTCCATTTATGAAGACGTTGTCAAACGGAATAGTCGGATGAGCGAAGAAGTACACGCCTGTGTGAAATCATCTGTGAAAAGCTGTCTTTCTTCTCAGTACAAACACATTAGCCTTGGTGGAACGTCAATGTCTACCCCTACACACACTATCAGGAGCAGCCTACAAGAAATCGCGACTCGATCTCATCTTTTGTCCGATCTACAACGACGTTCGTACGAACTCTGGAGCGCTACCGTAACCTACTACCAATACCGTACTTGATTTGTGGATGTGCAGCTTGTGCGCATCGGTTCGTTTGTGTGCATGTGCGCGATGGTCCCAGGCGTCTCGTTGTCTATTGATATTCAGAAGGAGAGCGACTGGGAACCAACTGTGAATTAAACGATAAATCGCACGCGGTTTCATGTGATTTTCAATGGGCCCATAAATGGGATGCATGAGAGCATGACGCGCTTAGAGGTTTCAGACGTTCAGAAAAGCCAAATCCAGCTAGACCTGCTGGAGTAGTGCTTGATTTGTGCATGAAATAGGGAGCGATGCATAAACTCGAGTATTCTTATCGGAATTACCACAAATGAAAAGGAGGTACATTTTTGGAATGGCAGAAAATCGTAGGGAATGGCAAGCCCAGAGAAGACGCCGAGTTGCAGCTCGGCTCAAGAGTGAGGACCTCACCTTCTTGTGGATGGCCCGGGAATTCTTGCTATTGAGCTGGAGAGCTTCGATATCAACATTCTAGAATTCTTACGTCCCGATAGAAAATATAAACTTCATTATTGCAAAGTTAGCCTTTCGGAAACCTATTCTTCTATTCTCCTTCTGATACCTACACCAGCTTCCGGATATCAGAAATTTTTTCCAAACTCTGCATGGCCTATATACTCTCGGTCTTGAGTTTTGCGCCGGGTTAGGCTTCACCTTCAAAGTTTACAATACTTGTTGGACTTCAATTGAAATTCTAAGACAGCTTCAGTTTCCGTAAAAGCCTCTCTTCCCAAATAGGTACTCTCTATTCATTTCTTTCAACCTGCCGAAGCTTCCATCGCTCGGACACTTAGATGACTCCCATTCGTACAAACGTTTCAAAGTCGCCATGTACTTTCGGCTTAGACTTACTTGGATGACCTCAAGATTGCGGGATAGCTGGATAGAACATTCTGTGAAGTCCTTTCTAGGATTGTTAACTCAGTTTATGAAGCTATAAGAATGGACCAGGTGTGAGTGAATGGAATATGCTACTTTGTGATCGAAGTTGGACTCTGTAAATCCATTTGGTTTTTAGCCACAACTCTGCTTCAAACGATCTGTCATTGGTCGTGTTCGTTCGGCAACCAAACCCGATATCGAACCTCCACTGAGACTGGGAGAATCGATACTCCAATCGATATGGTCGACGACGCCATTAGGTTGGCCCATTAGGCAGCTCCTCATGTCGGACCGGCAAGCCCACACAACGGAACGGATCTACGCAGGTTGGTGACGAAAGCAAAAGAAGAAAAAGTTGAGGGGAATAGCTCGTGATTGATGGTGTGCCTTCAAGATGGCGTTTTTTGGAGCCTTCTACCAATGAGATCAATAAGTACAGTGGCCTAGGTTTCCGGTTCAGTTCCTCTACGTGATATTCCTTATTTTGCGGATTGTGATTACGGTATGATTGCTCCGTGGAAGGATTTCAGCTGCCGTCCCTACGAAAAGAATCTGCGATCAATAGCGATCGGATTTCTGCTGTCCTCACTAATAGACTGTACATGGATGGTTTTTCAGTCGAAAAGCGTGCTGAATGTCTGATTTTTTCGCTCTGGCGCTAGGTAGGTCGGCGCCATGTAATTTCGCCACGCGACAAGGTCGACTCACGAAAAACAACCTTACTTCCTGCTGAACACGGGGTGGTCTAGGGGGATGCGTTGGATGAACGCATGAAGGTCGCTCAGAGTCATCGCAGAGTTTCTGATTTTGGGATGAGCATACTCCTCAAACGAACCCATCGATTATGAAGGATACAAACTGTCAAAAGACTAGATGGCTATCACGACATGAAACTTCTCATCAAGCGCTTCCCCACGTTTCTTCTACTCTGGTTCCGGATTCCTGGTAGAGTTCAAACAGTGAATGCTGACGAAGTTGAGAAACGCGTCCATTGTTTTAAAGTACCCTTCCGTTGAGCTGTCAGGATTTCTGAGAAATCCTCCCATTCATCTTTTTAAACAAAAGTGGAGCGGAACAATTCTCTATTGAGGAAGTCTGACAACAAATACAGCCAAGGATGTCGCAAGCGTTGCAGAAGCTTTGATATGCCATGGGAAGAATTCTGCCGGATTATGGCTCCATCTATTGGGTATGAAGGGGGTCGCCAGTGGAACGAAAGTTTTCTAGGATCGGTTACGTGGAAGCATGGTCCGTTGCACTCCTTCTTGCTGTCAACTTATCGGTCTACTTTCAAAAGCTTTTGCTTCCATCTAGGGAACTTTCGTCCCAGCACTTCACCAGAGTTTTTGCGAAGCTGTTACTGGATGATGACGTTCAGGGAAAATGTCTTTGCACCATTTGAACTTTTCATCTCATCTCCAATAAGTCTGAAGTTTGAAATTAAAGAAACGATGAGAATTTTTCCCATAAAAGGAGCAATACAGAATGTCACGTCGTCCGCATCGCGATCTCTCTCTCTCTTCCAGTGCAAGGACAAACTTGAAATTGAAAATCGAAAAAACCGCCACCAATACCGTAATCCGGAATGAGGGGAACGATGACGGGTAGAGAGAACGTTTCGCTCTTGCCTGCCTGCCTGCTGTGCTGGGTGCTGCAGATCTAATTATGAAAACGAGTGAGAATCGATTTGCGTGTAAGCGAACGAGGGAATTCATTTAAAATAGATCATAACATGACCGTAAAATTGCGCTCGTTTCGACACATTCGATTCGTAGGTATTAATTACTTTGCTGCTGCTACATGGTATGTGATTACTGTAGTTGGTGTGGGGAGGGGGGACTATGGGTAAAGACTACCGTATACCAAATCCAGAGAACAATATGCGTATTGCAAATGCAACACAGACGTATGGATTATGCATTGCTAGTGCGACTGCACAACGGCATGCGGCTACTCTCGACATTCGGGAGAGTTGCGCCAATGAAAGAAATCCACCCGCCATCAGAAGCTTCCTTCCAAGAGAGTGATAGGAAAACTATCGGGGAAGTCCATCTATAACTATCACAAAACCTCCAGCAAAGAAGCTTTTAGTGAGAAAGATAACTCAGAACATCAAAAATCACCCGAAAATGATACCTAACATGGGAGAAAGTTGTTGAAAAATTGAAGCGAAGGATGACACGAAGCATCGATGGAGAAGCGAGGAAAACCAACTATACGGCTGAGTGCGGAAATGCGAGTGTGTATAAAGCGGTGCCTGCCGCGCCGAGCCAATACCATCCATCCAGATGAATTGTATTGCCTCAACCCTGGATATGAGGTTTTCTGATGCTAGTAGAGCGAAATCGATTGATTCCAGCTGCAGGTGTTCATTGTCTCCTCAATGTGGCTAGGACAGTTGCGCCTAATTAAACGGGAGATGATAAGTCTCCCTAAACTGAGCTGTTCAGCCTGTTGATCGACAAGGAATGTCGCGTCAGAGTCGAAGCTGCTGGGTTCACATCAACATCAATATGTACAAGTTATTTATTCGCTCATTGATTTCATTCATAGCGAAGAAAGTACAATCAAAACTGTAGGACAAAACAACAACGACCGACAACAACAACAACAACATCAACATTCGAGTGTTATACTGGTTGATGGCCTCTTTTACACGTTTGGTAACGAAATTAATGGGAACTACAGTGATTGGCATATTAAGAAAAATGAAAAGATACCGTACTAATCGATTCGTTTCAGAATTACCCTTACTGAACTTCAACCCGGAATGGCACAGAAAAATTTATTGCAGTCAGTGCAGTGATTTGCTGGACAGACGATGTTCCGACCAATTTTCCAGCTCCGGCGCAAATTTCCTAGTTGATAAGAGGTTGTGAACGACGAAAGCTGGAGAAATTCGTTCCCATAAGCGATGCAACCAGCACCGCACGCTTCGGCATGTCACTGAAATTACTGCGACAAAATTTTGTAATGAGGAAAATTTTTTTGAAAAAGACAATTTGGCAACAACATGACCATGAAGGCCCTTTAGGGTCCCGGACAACACGTCTAGAAAGTTGACAAAACCATTTCCAATCTGAATGTTGTACACATATCGTATGTAGGTTATAGAAACGGACAATGGTTGAAAAGAATCGAAATACCTACCGCGTAGATAACCTCACACTCCTATCCGTGAGATGGACATGATACCAGCCAGCTCAGCGTAATAGGCTGGCTCGTATCAGTAACCACCCTATCATGGTGACTTTGATAAGCGGTAGATTTTATTTGGATCATGCACGTTGGTATGCGGTAAGAATCCGATCCATAAGAAGCCAGCTACCTCTCAAACACCCGATAAATCTTCAATCGAACTCAACATCAATCGCCCCAATGAATAATTCACCCCATCCAAGGTCTTGAACTCTACCAACATTCCAAATGGAAGCGACGTTCTCTGAAGCTCCCATAAGAAATCACGGACAGTAGTAAATTTGATAACAGGATGAACTAATTTGCTTGCTAATTCCCACGAAGTCAACCTCCAGGTCTTTTTCTTCGCCTTGTGAAGGCCGAGGGTGATTTCCATGTAATTTTATGTCATTTCGCGTGCAGTTTGTAACCTTGAAACATACAGCAGGTNGGACAGTAGTAAATTTGATAACAGGATGAACTAATTTGCTTGCTAATTCCCACGGAGTCGACCTCCGGGTCTTTTTCTTCGCCTTGTGGAGGCCGAGGGTGATTTCCATGTAATTTTATGTCATTTCGCGTGCAGTTTGTAACCTTGAAACATACAGCAGGTGTTTTGAGGTGTACCCTGACGTTGCCAATCGACTGCCAACATCCAATGAATGGGTTTCAGGGACGAGTTTCCTCCATTTGTTCGGAAGAGTGCTGGCACAGCCTTGTGACTCAGATCACAATCCTGTTTCTGTCTCGAACCTCCAGTTGCTATGGACACTGACGTGTTCGCCGAATTTTTACGACTTCTTCTTGCATTAATGCGCGCTTTTATGTAGACGATGAAGGCGTCACATCATGAATGCCTGCGCATTAAGGAACCAATGCGTTTAGGAATGTTAACTGTACTGGTGTAATTGTCCAAAACGGAAAAATGGTGAAGAGGTTCAAGTTCAAAATTTTCTTGAGGTACGCCCCTTATCATCCACCTGTATCACTTGTTTTCTCTTTGCCCGAGCGGAAGAAGCAACGTCTCCATTCTTCCCTGTCACAGGCCTACGCGATAGAATGCAGCCTTCTTTCTCGAGGGACACGAACATACCATTTGCCGTTCAAAGCTCACGAAGAAGTTTGTCATTAGGCTGACGGCTCGTTCTTGTTTCACGTCCCGAAGACGTTCAGCATCTGGCTGCAAGCCCCATCTTTTCGATACTGTGGCCCTTCCTACTTTGACGTACGCCTCAAGGACTTGGACTCTGCGCAAGCGAGGTGATGGTTCGTTCCGTTGCAAGCAAGTGCAGAAGAAATCTTAAGTTCCCAGCTCCATCTGCGAACGAAGGTCAGGGACGTCGTTGCTTAGCCTGTGATTCAAAGATTAGGTGGACAGGTCACTACATGGGATTTTGTGATTGCGGACGAAGGCTCCCTCTGATACTGCTCCCATCAACCTATCCGAGAGGATAGGTCGATGGGGGCAGTATCAGAGGGAGTAGATTTATCCAGGAGCCAGGGCTCACGCAACGGCTCGAACGTTGTTGAAATAATTTATTTTTTGATTTGACGCCACTTTGAAAAGGAATCCCAGTTTCACGAATGAAGGACGAAGCGCTCGCGTCTGTCTGTCTCTCTGTCAGTATGATTGTATGCTTAATTGTTTGTTTGAATTTGATACTACTTGAGGAAGCACTTGCAGAGGTCGAGTCAAGTTTGGGATGAGTCAGGCATAGGCCATGTCCAACAGAGCACATGTGAGCTCACCTCTCACTCGTGCGCATGTCCGCCCACAGTTGCAAAATATCTAAATCAGGTTTCATAACAGCCCAGACGCCGGGAAAAATGAAAAGGTGAGGTATAGGTCAACAAGTGAACTGAAGGAAACTCACCGGCGGTGAATAGAGCGTCCATGCAGTGGGCGGTATTTTCCATATAAGTTCATAACGCGATTCAGCGATGGCGCGGAGCCCAGGTAAAAATAGTAGTATACCCCTTCTGCGCGCTGGGCATGGACAAACTTTGCGAGACTCCGCCTACGGCGGGCGGGGCATGCGTTCAATTGCGAAATATTTTTTTGGACAGAACTATACATGTTTTTAAAACATGTATAGATCTGTTCATAAACGTTCCAGGAATGGACAGAGGTGACAGAAGGAACGTGGCCGAATTTCTGAGGTGCGTGGGGTTTACGAAAAGGTAGGGGGATCAAACTCAAGAATTCATAACCCTGTTCAATAACATTCTAGAAGGCAGGAAAAACGTGGTAAGAGGTTACAGAAGAGATGCGGTCAAAGTTATCATGTAGGCGGGGATTGCGTCAACGTGAGCGGGACTAAGATAAAGAATTCACAACTCTGTAAAGACGTTCTGGAACACGGAAAAAATGATCAGGGGCAGCTAAAGCTAAGAGAAAGGCGGTCGAAATTCCTTGCTGAGAGAAGTTTGCACTGAGGTGTGGGACTGAGATTAAGAATTCACAA